ATACTCACTGAGGAAGAAGTACTCGTGCTGGTGGTTGTAAGGCAGGTACTTCAGCTTCTTCTTGCCATACTGCAGGACACAGAGGAGAAACTCAGGCTTGGGTTATGACACATGTAAAAGAAGATTCTTTGCAATAGTTCTTTCTTTATTGACTAGGGAGTTTTGACTAAATTCCCACCACCAGGTGAAAAGTGTTTTGTTCTGGTTAAGTATCTTGACTTCATAACTGAGCTCAGTGTAAATTCCATGGTGAAGTATCTAGAGCTATGCAGAAATGTCTTTTTTTTTGACCTCTAGGAATGAGACTCTCCACAGAGAATCTGGATGGCTGTGAACTTGTATTTTTGCTTAGCTCCCAATGAAGGTAAGTCCTGCAGCACCAACAAATCAACCACACCTTTCACTCTGCTCTGAGCTCTGCAGGGCTGTGTGCTCAGCATCATCTGGAGAAAGGGTTACACACAGTGAGAAAGAGCAATGGCATAGACTGATGCTGGCCTAACATTCAGGTATTTTGTAGGAAGGAGACCCAGTGTTCCTAGCTGTTGTAAATATTTACATTCCTAGTTTTTCCTTTTCGTGGTAGAACCATGGCCTGCTTTTAAACCCAGTTATCAAGATCCTCCAGTGGGTTGCACCCACACATTTAAGAGTATGATCCTGATTTACAGCTTCTAGAGAATGGCTTTTTTATGCCCCAGGAGGAGGTTTTCATTTCAGTCATATGTAAGAGCCCTTCTGCCTCTGGAAAATTCTCTGTGTGTGCAAGACATTCTCTCTACATGTCCAGATACCACTATGTATGTCCCCTACATGTCCCTGGAGTTACCTTCTCACTAGTGTAAAAGCTGGCTGAGAAACCATCACCTTCTTCATGTTGTATTCCCCTGTTGCTGTACCTGCTGCAGGTGCTTTTTGGTTTGTTTTCTTTGGTTTGGTGGGGTTTTTTTGTTTTAAAACTAGAAATCCTTGTTCCCTTGTGAAAAAAGACCAAGTATGGTGCATGGCTTAAGTCCCCTGTGTAGGTTTTTATGCAGTAGGCAGTAAATATTTTGGCTCTAGAAGGCCAGATTGGATTAAAATCCCTTAACATAGTCTGTTCTTCCCTGTGCAACAAGCCAGGACATAATTAATGTAAGAAAGTAAGAAAGTATTGCTTATGCAACCAATATCCCCTCAGCTGCATGGCAAAGGCTTCAGCAGAAAGGACCTTGGAGAGATTATCTGGGGCACATCTGGGCTGGCTAGTATTAGAAGATATTTTCTGTGGAAATGGAAGATCAGCTTTGAAATGTTCTTCATTAAGCACTGAGGAACACCATATTTTCCCCTTGTGTTATTATTTCAAGCCAGAAGGATGAAGTTGGGGGTTTTTTTAATGGCTTTCTACTTTCTTTCCAATCCCATCTTCATTGCTTTTCCCAAGCTACCCCGAAACACTTTCTCCTGTGGTCAGTATAGGAAATGGATAGAGAATTATATCATCAGTCTTGCCCTCCAGCCCAAAGTTTGGGAGGGTGTGATGGCCAAACTCCTGTCAGACAACATAAACAGCTGAAATCCCTGGAGAAGCATTTCCTTTTTTAGCATTCCTGGAAATCTTGACTGTGTAAGTCACGTCTACCAGCACCAGCCAGCTCCTGCTTTTGCACAAGCCTTCTCTGAAGACCTTTCAGACAATAGTTTTCCATCCTTTACCCACTTTGACCTTACCTCAACAGGCTGTGTATCTCCAAGGACAAAAATGTGTAGCATGTTCACATCTGGGTCCTTCTTGAATATGTTGGGCTTGGCATGGTGTTGGAAGTGACGATGGTTCCACCAGTTTGCAGAAGCACCCTGGGCAGATAGAAGAATAAGATTAATAGAAAGAGAGAGAGAAAGAAGAATAAGTTAATCCATGGAAAAGAAAGTTCTTCCAGTAGTAGGAGTATCCATTCATTTCTACAAACTAAACCAACTCAGATTATGGCCCAAGTGTTACTTGCTTTTGCAACAGCAATAAGCAGGAAGCAGCCAAGCTGGCAGTTGCTAGGAGACTGCTGGTTTGCCCTCCCCATGGATCACCCACATTCAAAGAAGAGGGAATAAAGATACTCTGAAAGAGTCACCGTGGCTTCCCACAAGTGAAGTTGTTATTAGTAGCTGAATCCTGGAATCTTTTTAAGGTCTTTAAAATCATCTTTAAGATTTAGGTTGGAAAAGGTCTTTAAGATCATGGAGCCCAACCATTAACACAGCACAGCCAAGTCCACCACTGAACCCCCTTTCTGCCTTACTGGTTCCCCTCTGCTGCCTGTGTCTGTGAGGAACCAAAGTGGGTTTGGGAGGATGGGCAAAGCCAAGTCCCACCCCCTGGAAGTTCCTCCTGCAAGTGGATGCTGAAATGTCTGGACTGCACTAGACCTTATCTAGGACAGAATTTTTGAAGGCATCTCGATTGGATGGGATGTAGCAGGATGGGACATCTGAAAAATATTTTCTCTTAGTGGGGTGCATGGTGCAAATATGGCAGGATCTTAAAATTGGGGTTTATGCAATTTCAGAAGCTTTATCCTCAGCTGCTGTAAATGGATGTGGTTTCACTGAAGCTTGTCTCATCTCTTCTGCCCAACAGCTCCGTGTGCAATGGGCACTAACTTCTCCTCTGTGCACCAACTTCTCCTCTGTGCACCTGCTCATTGTGCAAAGTCCTAGAGCTGCAGTTTCCTACTCCTAACATAGTCCAAGTGACTGCAGTGGTTTCCATAGTCCCCTAGGTCCACAGCATCCTTTACCTTCATGTGTCCAATGATGAACTTGTGAACGATGTGGTTCCAGGAAGACTTCTTGAAGACAGAGAGGTGGCCAAAATCATGTTGCAGCCACCCTGCCTGGGCCTGGGATGAAGGGAAATCAAGTAGTTAGGAAGCTGTTTGAAATCAGAGTTAAGCACAAAAAGGAAATGGAGATGGAAGGCAAGTTGTGAGGGAGTTGACCAAAGTGAGAAGGTGAAGATCTTTGGTTTTGTTCTGTAGGGGAACATAGAATCATTTAGGCTCGTAAAGAAGATCAAGTCCAACCATAAAATGAACACTATCAAGTCCACCAACATGTGGAAGAAAAGGCCAAAGAGGTGAGAAAAATGTGAGCCACAATCAGCAGTGGGTAGGGGAGGCCAGAAGGCACCACAGTGGCAGGTACGTTGTGAATCTTTTTCATTGCTGTGAGTATTTTGCACTGGGAATTAACGTAACACGTGAAGTTCAGAGCACATTGGCCTTTGCCTGAGTGATTTGTGTAGCCAGGGTGCTCTATGCCTACTGCTGCTCACCTGGGAAGTTGTAAGGATGCAGGAAAGGATCAGGGTTGTGATCCAGCCAGTACCAAAGTAGTAAACCATCAACCAAGCCAGAACCTCCATCGCGATAATATGGCCCAAATAAAGAGAGAAGAACAAAGGACTTGCTCTGAACAAGTTCATCTCCTCTGCTGTCTTCCTCAGGGTCCTGAAATCCTCCACCAGCTGGGACTGCAAAACAGACATGAAAGAACAGAGCACGAAGCTTGTAAGTGCTTGTAAGTGGCTGAGGGAGGAAGGCCCAGTTCCATACCAAGGACCCTGGCTGCTTCTTGCATTGGTTGGCTAGTCCCGAAGCAAGGAAGGTCCTGCCCCCATATTCACCCTGTATTTTAGCTTTTCAGAGCACTTTCCCACCCATAAATGTCCTGGCTGCTGTGAGCCCACGTCCTGACCTTTGCCACCTTCAGCTAGGAGAGGAACTCAAGCCTGCTGCTGTGAATCAGCAGCACTACCTGGCCCTGTTGAGAGTCACATCAGGTGATGCCTCTCATCTGAATGAGCTTTAGGACTCTTAAAGAGGCAGCTGGAGAAGGAGATAATTCTGTCCTCTGACACATAATTCCAGAGCTCTGATGGTGAGCACCCACTACCAGAGCACCCGTTGTCTGTTTAATATGTGGGTCAGCTGCTGTGAAGTCATTCATGAAGAACGTTCCTGGGTCAACGTGGGTTAAGATGGTCCCTTCTATTGTGAGTGATACAGACAGATCCTAACCATGGCCAGTCACAAACAACAGGGCAGGATTGAGTTTCGTGGCGAGAGCCACGCACGGGGCCTGAATAATGGATGAAAGGACTGTCTGGGAGGGATACTGAGCTGCCCTCAGGGTGCTGAGCGGGTGGAAAAGGTACTTGCTGGGTTGCTGCTCCTCAAGAACAGCCCCTGCAATGAGACAGCTGGTTCACTACACCCACAGGTGCCTCCTGCTCGTGGCACGCCTGGCACGAATGTGGCTGCTCTCCAGAGCTCAGCAGGATAAGCCACTCCTGAGTCTCCAGGAAATATTTCCCTGGGAGTTAATCCATCAAAGGGAGCTGCAGAGCAAACAGGGAATCTTTCTGAGGTGTTGAGCAACTGGCTTGGACATCTTCTCAGAGTTCTTTGCCCCCTCCTCTCCTTGCCCCGTGACAGGCAAGCGCCGCCGTGTGTTAGAGCTTGGGGAGGAACAGCAGAAGGGCCACCTCACAAGAGCTGCTGCACATTTCCCAGTCCACACGTCTCAGTTCCCATTTCCCTTCAGGATGGGATCAGTCCAGCCTGGGCACCTGGAATGGGCTGCTGGAAATGGGGCATGAGCACCACAGGCCGAGCTGTGGGTGGCTCTGTGGGACAGGAAAGGCTCCTACAGGCAGTCCAGATGTGTCAGCTCTCTCCCAGACACAATTTCATCTATACTGGGATGCACACGTGGCTAGATGGAGATGTCTGGTCACTGAGAACTTTTCTCCCTCTCTGAAGCTGCCTGTAGTGAAGAGACCTTTACAATCTGCCTGCCTCTCACCTGGAGAACATCTGGAGAGGGAAAAAGAGGTGGGACATAGCCCAGATAAACCCCAGCTCCCACACAAACACTCACGTTTTTATCTCGGTCCTGGCTGGGTTCCCCTGGAGCAAGCTCTCCAATAAGTAATGGCTTGAGAAACTTTCTCACCAAGGTGGGATTGATGTGGAAGGCCTGGAACGCATCCTGGGGAGGGAAGAGGAGCAACTGGGTGAGATCAAGGGGTAAGCTGTTGTTTCCTACTCGTTGTGTCATTCCCATCCACCCCCAGCACTGTTATCCCCTCATTACTGTGAAAGAGAGGTACCAGACTCCCTTCCACCTCTGTCACTGTTCAAGTGCAGGGCTTCTACTAGAGGCTGAGGCATTTTCTTCACCTAGTAGCAAGCAAACATTGAGATCTGGGATGCTGTGGAGCCATATGGTGAAAGGCACCTCGAGAAATTTTTTTCTCAGCAACTAAAGACCTAAATCCTGTTAATTCCTTTAGAAGGTAGGCAGAGAGGAATTTGTGCAAATCCCCACTGGGATATAAATACCCTTCGGAAGTCTGCTGCCCAGAGGAGGTTTAAGAAAGGAGGTGAGTGAACCTGGACATAACTGCAGCTCCCAAAACTATTCCTGGGTGTTTTGCCCAAAGATTTAGACCTCAGCACCAACACAGCTGAGGGAAAAGTGGTGACTCCTCATCTGGGAGATGACCTTTCTCTTTTTGTTCAAGATGAGCAGTGGAATGCCACCATAACTCTTGATTCTAGAGCCATATTTCTCTGTATAAGCAATTCAACCTCAAGTCCAAGAAAAAAGTCCTAGAAAGGAACAAAACCAAAAATTGCAGTTGTATACCAGAACTTTAAGCTTGCTGTCAAGCTTTGCAGTGACTAGGATCCCATTCAAAGCAAGATGTGCACCAAAAAGCAGCTTCTTTCATTGCTCTGAAGTGTGCTAAGGAGTTTGTCTTGAAGAGCTGATAATTATCTATGCACTTGATAGGACTTCATGCTGTGATATGTGGCTCCTTGACCCTATAAAAGGCCCATTAATCCTTTTTTTTTGTTAATTTTCTCCCATATTTTCAAGACAACTTCTAACTGGAAGGACAATGCCTTGTTCATAGGTTCTTTTTAATCTTGGCATTCATCAGTTTGCCTGGCTCTTCTTTTTCTGTACTCCTTCCCCTTTCCACATGTTTTTGTCTACCTGTGTCCTACAGACACCTGCTGGGAGCATCTGTTTGATCTGTTGCTAGCAGTGAGATGTTTCACACCCCTCCTTTCACATGACATGGCTTGAATTTTAACTCTGAAGATAGTGGTAGGGACAGAAAGTTGACCAAGATCACAAATTCTTACTCCGTCTTACTGCACAGAACTGAAATGAACTCTAGAAAAATCACCTAGAAGAGCTGTATAGATGTAGTTCCATGAAGTGCTATGACTGGTACAGAAAAAAAACCAGCCAAAAAAGAGAAGTCAGGAGTTCAACACTTCAGCCTTTCCACCTTTGACCCACTGCCTAACGACAGGACCAACTAAGATCTCACCTCTGGCTCTAAACTGAAAGGGCAGGCTGGAAAAGTGCCCACTGTGTCCAGGTGACCCTTCTGGGAGCTGATGTCCATCAGAAATGGTCAAAAAATACCAGCCAACAACCTTGGTCCCAAAGTCCACCCAAATCAATAGAAAGTGGCACCCGATTCCAAGAGTTTGGATTGAGCTCCTGCCCCCAGGTTCTGCTGTGGGGGGCAGGGAAGGAGGGAGTGTGAAAGGTGATCTGAGCCACAGGGGCAAGTCTGGATCAAACTGTCCACCCCTGAGGATGCCACCACTGGTAGAACTGGTCCCAGCAGCAGACCAGTGCTTTCCAACTCCACCAAGTCAGCCTCTGATGGTACTTTACTGGTGCCAGAATGAAGGTGAAACTCTAGGGCCAGCAAAGGGGTTTCTGGAGCCTTGTGCTGGAGACAGTTTGGAGCTTCCCGTGCAAAGATTTGTCCCAAATTATTTTGTCTGCTTGGAGGAATTTGATTTGCTTTGCCATAACTTCAGCCTCTCTGGTGTTACCTTCACAGCCCAGCTGAGGTTAGGAACCACTGTCCCCTCCCTTCTACAAGAGGGGATGATTCTACAAGGGCCAACAGTAATTTCAGCTCTTGGACCCACAAATATGTCACTGAAATTTTAGGTGTGGTTGCTGGTCTCCTTGCCTGGGACAACTTGTGGATGGTGTGAAAGAGGGGAGAGCAGAATGAGTGGGGAAGCAAAGAGCTGACTGCTTTGCAATTTGGGGGCAAAAAAAAAGGTGAGGAAAGGGGAAGAGGGAGAAGGTGGACACATAAGAAGCATTAAGACATGTTGACTCAATATTATTTAAACTAATAGGGACAAAAAGTCTCTGGAGGTCTGATCAGGTACAGCCTGATCACTGTGCTGGAGACCTTGCTGACTGCTGTTGTATTCACTGGGGGGTGGTTCAGAACACCAGCTCCTGCCTGAGCACCCAAAAGGGATTTTTGTCTCCCTGGGGCTCCCTGCCAGTAGCCTGTCTGTTTTCTGAACATGCCTACAAATGTGTTGTCATGGCTTTTCCAGGGAGAGTCCTCCTCTGCCTCTGAACTTCACACCTTCACTTCTCTCTGGATGGGATGAAGGATAAAGGTTGGAGCTGGTCAGAAATGTCATCCCTCGTGTCAAAACACTGTTGTTACTCAGAGCTACTCTACCCATCTTCCACTTGGCTGCTGTCACAAGCCCACACCATGAAGGAAATACTTGCAGCAGGCACGTTTTACCCTCACTGAGATGTGATAAGCCATTTATATCACTGGTCTCTGTACAGAAGGGGCTTTTTCAGTTGAGCCTCCAAGCAGGAGGGAGAACATCTCCTGAACACTCTCACCACCATCAGCCAGAAGGCTCTGGTGATGGAAGGATGGCTTTTGTGTTAGCTCTGTCTCACACATCTCCTTTACTAGCAGGTCCCCAATGGAAGACACTACCTGAATTTTGGAATTCTCCTCGGTTCTGTACTAGAGGAGATAAGAAGCAAAAGGCAGAAGACAGCCCCTGGTAAGTGCCATGTGATATTTACACCTGACCTCTCAACTTTCTGGTCTACTGGCCAAATAAGCTGAAGTGTCTTACTGGAACTGGACAAGTGGGAATTACTCCAGCTGCTTCTGCTGAAAAAAGACTTTGTATTATTGAGGTATGAGCCACGCCTGAGCATTTGAAGTGCTTACTGCAGTCAGCACAAGGATGTTCTTTCACATCCTTGAACACCTCTGAAGCAGAGAGACTGCAAGGTGCCCCTGAGTGCCCTTGCCTTCATTTTCTGAAGGCAACTGTGCATGAGGTGATGGCAGAACAGGTTGTCCCAGGCTAGTGTGCTGTCTCATCACGTTAAAGCCTAAAATGAATGACTGTTGTTAGTGCCTGTTTGGGAAATTGGTGCCTAACTCAGCCTGGACACTCCTAACCTGAGTGCCACGAGATGAGGACGGTGGACATAACCATCATGGAAGGTTCCCAGCTGAATTGTGAGCATCCCCAGATGAAGGAGCTCTCACATCTCCAAGCAGAGTATCTTTAGAGTGGCCTGGCACAGATGTGGAGCTCAGGGAGTGTGTCTGTGGGCAGCTTGTGGTGGCTGGGTACATGTGATCCTCTAGAGGGTTGGCCCAAGCTAAATGGACAAGGCACTGAGGTTCCTTTGGTGCATGTTGGCTGGGCTGGAGGTCCTACCTACATGTGGTGTGCAAAGGGGAATCCAAGAAAGATGGAACTAGCAACGTAAACATCTTAAACTGAATTTTTATCTTTGCCTTTTCCACCTCCCAAACTCTTCCAGTTGTGATACCTTGACAGACAGAATGCAACTTGTTAGGTAAGCCTGGACAGGGCCATGGCAAAGGCTTTCTCACCCTGAACAAGAGATTTTTTTGGGGCAGGAAAATGTTCTTCACTACAGGGAAGCTGGAAACCAGGTGCCAACTCCTTTTTAGTGCTCAGAGCAGCGAGGGAGAATTTCAGAGGATTCTGAAGACCATGTCTTCACGGAGCGTGCTCTGAGCAGAGTGGGATGTGGTGTGTGCTGGGGAGGTGGGTGGAGGACCAGCAGCAGAACCACAGACCTGTGGTTCAGTCTCCCTCGTAAGGATTCAAGAGAAATGCAACAGCAGATGCTTTCTGGTTTCTCGTGGAGACATTGGAGTTAAATTCTTGGGAACAGGAGGCAAATTCCTCCGTTTTGAGCAGGCCTGCATTTAAGCAGCTGAAAGTAAAACCTGGTCCATCTTTCTGAGGGAGGAAGCTATTCATTCAGAGGATTTATTGCAAGGGGGAAGGAACACTGAATCACCTCTCAGTGCTTTGAGGAAAAGCATGGAAAATAACCAAATGGGGACGGGTGGGAAGGAAAGGTTAAGGAAATCTTCCCAGTTAATTCTGCCTCACAGAAAGCCTCCTCCTGGCTAAGGTGTTAAGAGCCGTGGGAGGTGAACGGTTAACGCTGGAGCTCGGGCTCTCCTGCTGCTTCCCATGCACATATTCGGGAAAGCTCTGAGGGAATTTTATTATTATTATTCCAATTTTATTAACTCTGGGCTGGTGCCCTGCGGAGAGAACGGGCTCCCTGGATGGGCTGCTGAAGAAGGTGGCTTTGAGGGAAACGGCAGAAAAACGATCCCTGAGGCAACATGTTCCTTTTTCAAGGTTTTTTTGGGTGGGTTTTTTAAGTTGCTGAAACACGAGAGGTGGCTGAGCCCAAGCTAGGAAGTGCAGGGGCAGCTGTAGCAAGCAGCAAAGGGGTTTCTTTTTGCTCTCCTGCCGAAACCTGGAGCTAAATTCTCTAGAGAGCTCTCTCCAGAGGAAAAAAAAAAAACCTAAAAAGCTCCTTGTTTTCAAGCCTCAAGCTCACCCTCCTCACAGAAGCAAGTCTGAAACCCAGGCTGGCTTTAACCCTTTCTGGTGCGTGGCTGCCGTGACTCCGCAGCAGAAGGGGAGACGTGGGGACACCTCGCTGGCGAATCCCCGAGCTCCCAAGAGACAAAAGACAAAACCAGCGGCTTTTCCAGCGGAGCCGAGCGATCCCCACCAAACCGATCCTCCAGCCGCTGCCCACGGCTCGCAGCCGCCGGCCGAGGAGCGGCAGCGGTTTTTGGAGCAAGCTTTTCGCTCCTGGAGGCGGCGAAAGGAGCCGAGCTGGGTGCGGAGCAGGTGGCAGAGAGGTGGGGAGAGGGGGGGAGCTGGCAGAGGGAGCCGGGGGCGGCCCGGGCGGGGCTGGGCAGGGGTCCTTACCGTGGCATCTTCTCCGGCGCAGTGGCTGATCACTCGGTGACCCCCCGGGTGTCTGTCTGCCCAATTGGTGACATTA